GAGGAAAGTGTTAACAAATTCATTAGTGTATACAAAGATGATGTTGATGATTCAATAAAGTATGAAATAGTACATTTCAAGCAGTTTTGGGATCAGTTAAAACCAACATTTGATGGAAGTGATGTACTCAAGATATTTKAATGGATGACTGAATGTAATGTTATTAATATTTTCCCTAACATTCATGTTGCTTTAAGAATATATCTTACCATTCCTGTTGCTAATTGTACTGCAGAGAGAGCATTTTCGAAGTTAGCCAGAATTAAAAATAAAAATAAATCTTCACAAACACAAGATAATTTGTCATCATTAATGATTTTATCAACAGAAAATGATGTTATTCAAAATTTAAGCTTCGATAAAACATTAGAAATATTTGCTACTCAAAAATCTAGAAAAAAACTTTTACTTAGACAATACTTAATTTTATTTGTAAATATGTAGGTATTAAAAAAAAAAAATATGTTTTTAATATTTGTACTCTCATTAATTACCTATCATATATTATCATTTATTATTATTATTATCATATTTAAAAAAAAGGTTTAAATTTGTTTAATTGTATATTTGTATACCTACTTTTATAATTTTAAATAATTGATTTTATTGATGGGGGCCCACAACCGTGTATTGGCCCCTGGGCCCCTGAAGGTCTTAATCCGGGCTTGCCTAACCTATACCTTTGAACAGTGGGTACAATTTTCTGGGAAGCTTCAATAAAAAAAAAAACTTAAWTAAGGTTCTCTTGTTATTTAATATATCGATGTATTATATACAGTTTCAGATAAAGTAAAAAATCGTTTAATACTAATAATAATTGTTACCAGAAATTAATACATTTAAAAAAATGTTATAGCTACGTTGTTTAATGTTAATCAAAATGTACGCACAATGTTGACAGTAGATACTTAGATACTTGTTTACCCACCATTATTTTTTTTGTGTTATGTAATGTATTAACTATTAACTATTAATGTAAATGAACGTAATCCTATAATTTTATTTTTTATTTTACTCGTCGTTATAGCTATACTGGACACTGTACAGTGTGCGGTGTACGCGTATGAACCGAATTTATATAGATACCTAATGCGCTTGTAACTGCCGTACACAATATGGATTACGAAACTTGATATAACAGACATCCGCAATTAAATTATATTACGCATTTACGAGCAGGAAAATACAAGCCATAAACCGTTTTCTCTGCGTCAGCAGCACTACAAGATTTTCATCGATATTTTTCAGAATAGTTATAGTYAGTTCCAWATTCTAGTGGAAAAAAGTTTGAAAATATAATATAGTAATAAAAGATATAAAAGGTGCATTGAAATTTAACAAAAATACATAAAAAACAATAAATGTTAAAAATTGTTATTATATTATTGTTTTTATTTTTGTGTAAGTCTGCAAAGGAACAAATATGGTTCTTGGCTTACAAGTTACAATACCTAGCCATACGATACGTCTAAATGGGTAGTKGCAAGGAAGATCAGGACTCGTTTTTTTTCACTATACTGATATTAAGTTAAAATAAATTWAAAAAAAAGTAATTCATGACAATACTCTACCTCGCTTCTAGGTTGGTTGTCACGCATAATCGTGGATTAGTTGTCCCGAATAAATTAAATGATAAATGTCATCAAACTTAAATTTTTGGTTGTCAATGTTAGAATTGTGTCAAATTTAGAATTACCCATTGCAAATATATTACATCCATAAATAAAAAACAGGAAGTTAATACAATTATCAAATTTAAAYATATTTATAGTTAGTCACACGAATTTGCCAAACAGACAACAAATCCCAATCTACTATTTTTAACACTTAAGAAGTTATATGATAWAAGTAACTTTTATCACTCATCAATACAAATGAAAATGATTACACTCCAAAATATAGGTACGTTTAGGCCAGTACCTACGCTAGCTACTAGCTAGATATTTGTCAAATCAAATTAATAATGAAAACGTTAGGTATGGTGATATATATAAATAGCAAATATTAAATGTATTTACGGAAAACAATTATTATAATATTATAAGTCCACATTTACTCCATAGCTGAGAAAAAAATTATTATTTTCATTGTGATAATTTACAGTCTACATATTATGAWAATGTGTACATAATTACCATCTAGTTTCAGAGTTATTAATCATGTGTCAACCAACCCGTGTGACAACTAGCATCAGTCTCTCCTGTGGGGTTGTATAATGTACACACTGCAGTTATTGTCTAATACTGACAACGGATTTCGGCATGTGAGGAATCGTGTGACATTTTTGGGTTTCATAGAAATTTCTGGAGTACTGACTCACTGTTATAGCGTAAACATGGAAATACATAGGTACTATTATATTTGCTGTCGACTGCAGTAGTGCAGTCTTGAGTCTATAATCTGATTTTATGCCCAAAATGTTATTATCAATATTCAATATTAAGTTTAATAAGAAATGATTATTGGTTATTCAAAAGTCACAGGGATAGCTGGTAAAAGTATAATAAATCCGTAAATGTAGGTATGGCATAAAGATCATATTCGACAGAATATGATATTATAATCGAGGTGGATGTCGGTTCCGTTGAACGTGGAATATTTATCTGAAGAATGCTTGTCGATGTTCCTGGCATATATAGACAATATTATATTAAATTGCCCTACTCATTACTTTGGGGATGTAAMCAGGGAGGGTCCATGTCTAACCTTAACCTAACCCCTCCCACCCAAAGTTATCGACGAATTTTTTTTGGAATCCGAGTGGAACGAAAAAGCTAGTTTTTTTACAATGATATTTTCTTTTGACTTCATCCCCTCCCCCCTCGAAATAAAATCCTGGATATGTCCCTGCATTACTTCTTGTTAAAATAGTAAGAAATAAAAATACAAATTTTTCATTAATTAATAAATTATTTGATTACACAAGAAAAAATGATTATTTTTAGCCATGATACAAATTTAAAAACGCTAGGTATACTACGCTAGGTATATACGCTATAGGATATAGGATAAGATGCTATGTTTCGGCTGAGGGTGAGTTAATAATATTCTGTAATAGTTAAACTGAAAGCTAATAATAAAATAAAAAAAATGTCATAATATTAATATATTATATTATATTCTATAATTTTATGAATACTTTTATTTTCTTTACGACCAATATWAATATAAGTACGACAATTTATACTAGAAAATACCTACATAATATTGTGATGTTTATATACTATATATAGACATATAGTATATAATATATATATATGTAATAATTGTAATATATACATTATTGTATGGCCGCAATTCGTACGCACCTTTCATAAACCCGGGCCGCAATTCGTACGTTCCTTTCATAAACCCGGGTCGCAACTCGTACGTACTTCTCATAAACCCGGGCCGCAACTCGTACGTTATTTAGGGTTTGGGCCGCWACTCACCAACACTATATGTTTCTACCGGGACCTGATATGTGGGCCTGTGCATCAGTTGATATACATGTTTAACAACTAATGCATGTGAATCATTTCATGCGTATTTTAATTTTTAATTCAAGTTTCAATTCCACTCACCCCAATATATATGCCGTCATTGCAAAATTAAAAGAAATATAAACAGAAACGTATACATTAAAATCAACAGCCTAGATGGCTAGATGCACCATTTAAATTTCAGAATACAAAAACTAAAAGAAAAAAAAACTCTTAGAAAGAACACTTACAAAATATAAAAATAAGGAAATATCAATGAGTGTATACGTTAAACACGTCATGGCTTTTTACTTAAAAAAATAGATTTATACATTTTTACTACAATTTTTCAMTTATATTTTACATTTTTTACATTTACACATTTTTTTTACATTTGTATAACGAATTTCATACTATGAATAAGATTTATTTATTTTTTAAATGCAATCTACAATCTATACCATCTTGGCACAACGAGTAGATCTAAACAGATCAGTTATATACAAATTATTAAAAATAAATACATTATATCCTTAATAACATTTATACATAATACGTGACATTTTTGAGGAAAGCAGCCACCCATTAGTAGCACTTTCATTTGCTATTTTAACTTTTTAACTTTTTATATTTTTTGTTATTTTTTTTCAATTAATACAATAAATAATATGAAAATGAAAATAATTTTTGGAGGATAGTGAGAATCGCCTCCTCCTGGTGTCCTCTGGGTAATGCTAAATTATTCTCAAAAATATTATAAGAAAATTATATGTACATTTTTGGCTGTATGTAAACTGCGGCAAAAAAAATTTAACATTATACAATCTGCGACAAAACCGATAAGACACATTATACAAACTGCGGCATCTTATTTTATATAGGTACCTATCAAAGTTATTATATAGTACTCATATATACCTAACTATGTGTACATTACCTATGTCATGTTATTTATCTTTCTTACAAATCGATAAGGTAAATCCAAATGTATTTTTATGTTTAAAGAAACATACTGAATATCGGCTCATTTGCGTTTGATAATACTAGTTAGTAGGTATCTGCTTACTAGTGTCAGTAGAAGTAGTTAAAAGTTTAATATTTTGTTCAACGTCATCGAATTTAAAACATTTATTGATGTTTTAAATTAGAGAATGAYAAACCGCAATTAGCAGTGTTAGATAATTTTAAATTCAACTTTAAATATGAAGCGAAGATAAGTGGTAATAAAACATGGGAATGCACTAATAAAAATGCAAAGCCAAATTGGTTTTCAACAAGAATAAAACTCTACTACAAGAAAAATCMGTTTTGGACCATAGTCACGAATCAGATTCTASAATTAAACGTCAAGCCGTAAGTAATAATATCAATCAAAAAATGTCTGAAAGCAATATAAAAGATATGCCATCTAAAATAATTCGAAAAGAACTTCGTACTTAGTTTAGGAAATGATACACAATTAATTACTAATGATATTTCATATATTCGTAGAAATTTATATAGTAAAAAAACTAAATATTATACCACTTCCCAAAGATATTAATGAAGTACATGAAGCTCTTTTAAATATGAATATTATGACTTACAAAAATGAAAACTTTTTGCTAATTAATGATAACTGATAAGGAAACAAATATATTATATTTGCATGTCTCACCAATTTAAAATACTTATATTCTATGAWAAAAGTTTTAAYAGACGGAACATTCCAGTTCTGTACTACATTTTTTTATTAGTTTTTTGWACTACTAGGATTTCAAAATGGTATACGAATGGTATACGTCACTGATGGTATAAACATTGCCTCCCAATAAACACACATCGACTTATAAACATATTATATTTAATAAGTTACATAGGTAGGTATATATGAGTTATTATTTAATAACTTTGGTAGTTATATAAAATAAATTGCCGCAGTTTGTATATAATGTGTCTTATCGGTTTTGTCACAGATCGTATAATGTTAAATTTTTTTTGCCGCAGTTTACATATCGACTCTTAGAAAAGGGTTAATTTGCCGCAGTTTACCATCTCCCACATTTTTATCCGGGCCGAGTTTATACCTAAATTATTTTTACCTGAAAAAAACATGGACCGAGTTTAMAATAGACCTTTTTAACATTTTTTTTCCTCGGGCTATCGCCCTAACTATTGTATAAAATAATAATAATAATGATAATAATTGGCATTAATACCGGATTTATAGGACTTATTTTTTTTTCGTGGGAGTTTGAATTTTTTTCCGACATT